AAAAGAAATGGAAGCATTTGAGTTTTCCAGATGGTTTCATCATGCAAGAGTGGGGAGAGGGGAAAAGCAAGGAATTCTCAAATTAAATTTGGCTGCTTCACTCTGAAGTTCAGAGCCGGTCCTGAGATGCTGGCTACGGGCCCAGTCAAGATCTGTGCAGAATTGCTCCGAGCCCAAAGTCTCAGCAGGAAATGATAAGCACAGATCTGGGAATTTCCAAAATAGTCTGGTGAATGTCTATGGAGATTCTCAGTCATCCAGGTCCCAAAGATGCTTTTTCATGAGGCAATGGGACTTTCAGGTTACAGCAGCTCATTTAGGGACCGTTTGAAGTTACAATGGCACTGAAAAAAGTGACATGATCATTTTTCACACTAACAGTCATTGCAGTATCTCCACGGTCACATGATCAAAATTCAGAGGTTGGTAACTGACTCATATTTATGATGGTTGCAGGGTCCTGAGGTCATGTGATCACTGTTTGCGACCTGACAAAGTCAATGGGGAAGCCAGATTCACAAACAACCGTGTACTAACATCACAGATGCAGTGATTCACTTAACAAGTGTGGCAAGTAAGGTGGCAAAATGGGGCAAAACTCACTTAACTGTCTTGCTCAGCAACAGAAACACTGGACTTTGTTGTGGCCGTAAATCAGGGACTCCCTGTAACACTCAGGAAGAAGAGAATGGCAAGTCACTTTCGTACTGTTATCAAACAGACTGCCTGGGTGTGTCCTCAGGAGAAACTCAACTTGAAGAAATATCTATCTTTATGCTGTCAGCCATGCCTTGTTTTGCAAGAATCATTGCTTGATGTTTTACCTTGAACTCTCGTCACCTGCTGCTTTCTCCATTGGCAGCCACTATTGACAGAAGCAGTCAGGCCAGGTGTTTTCCCCTGAACAGCTGGCAACAAAACAAAGGGCTAAACCACATTTGCCTCTTAGACACACATACAATCCTTGGCTCCAGAATTGCTGGTGGGATATTCAAAAATTTGGGAGCGCAGCCCTCAGAGCCTTCCAAGGTTCTTCTGAAGCTGTAAAAATTTCCGTGACAGGAAGAGAACAAGATGAAATATGTAACAATTTAAATAAGAGTAATTACAGATCTGGAGAGTAATAATGTTAATTATATTTAATTCTCATTTAAATAACAAATTTTCCATTCCACTTACTTCTTTTGATAATATAGAACCTGCCTGCCAAGGGGTCTGGGTATAATAGCCCTTGCCTCTCCCCACCCAAAACTGGGTCCCACAGATTCCACCAATTATTAGGAAGGAGACATGGATGTAAAATAGAACTTTAAAAAGCTTAGATACCTGCCCAGCAGAGTGTAGGACATTTTATTTAGCTTCGGAAAGAATGCAGGTATTATTGAAAGTTTCATAAAGAAAGCATTTATCCAGATACATTTTAACAATCTCAATACTGCAAAAATCAACCAGCATTTCCTTGTTTGTCTACTTCTTAAAAGAGCTGAAACCCTTTAGGGCCTTTGACACTCAGTTTGTCTTTGGTGGTAGATTTAGCCTCCAGTGGAACAGTTTACCACCAGAAATCGTGGGCGCTCCATCACTGGATATTTTTAAGAAGAGACTGGACATTCACCTGTCTGAGATGATATAGGTTCTCCTGCTTGAGCAGGGGGCTGGACTAGAAGACCTCCAAAGTACCTTCCAACTCTGTTCTGTTCTATTCTGTTCTATTCTATTCTAAATTTTTGTAAATTTTGCAGACTCCAAGGGCAGAATTCCTGTGCACTTTATTTGATGAATTCTATTTGAAATATCTGGGATTGACTTGATCAATGTGTTTGGCCACCTATTGACCAAGTGATTTATTTCCTTGCACAGGATTAAACTGAGGCTAGGAAATTCCTTCCTGATGCTTATGCCATGATAACCTTATACCTTATATTTTTAGTGGGGGTTTTAACATAATTTTAAATCACTTAGACCAATTATGAATATTTGTTTTTTAATTATGTTTTAAATCTGTAGTTTTGATATTTTGTATTTTTATCTGGTTGTTAGCCGCCCTGAGTCCACAAGGAGAAGGGCGGGATATAAATATAAACAATAAATAAATAAATAAATAAATAAATACCCCATATGTTTACTTGCTCCAAAGTACAGGTAGTCCTCGACTTACAACAGTTTATTTAGTGACCATTCAAAGTTACAACAGCACTGAAAAATGAGACTTGGGGACCGTCATAAATGTGAGCCAGCTGCCAAGCATCTGGATTTTGATCACATGACCCTGGGGATGCTGCAATGTCGTGTGAAAATGGTCACGTTACTTTTTTCAGTGCTGTTATAACTTTGAATGGTCACTAAATGAAAGGTTATAAGTAAAGGACTACCTGTGTATGTTTTACAAAGGCAGCTGCTATGGCCTGTGAGGTTTAGTTAGATAACCTACCTATTGTGCATCCTGTCATACAGCATCACAGTCTGGTTTGGAAGCATCCCTGCTTCAGACAGGAAGGCGGTGCAGCATTAACCTTGTGAACTCTTAAGCTTCCTCCTTCCGTTATATATTCAAGATGGACAGTATTTAATATTTATTTGCTATGTATATGTAGGGGTGTGGGTCTATACATATGTTATATATAGTATGTTTAGGTGTGTGTCATGTATGTGTTTCACTTTGAGAACAGGCAACTAAATTTCATTTTTGATGTGTGCCGTTGTGCCCACAGTAAAAAAATGTCAATAAAGGTTATCTTATCTTATCTTATCTTATCTTATCTTATCTCTTATCCCTTTCCTGCAGGATCTCTTAGCAAATATCAACTTTTCTCCTTGTTTGTAAAACCAGTCCTCTACCAATTCTTGTTTGGACTTCAGAAACAGTTTCCTAACAATAAAAGCCATCCAGCAAGGAACAAGGTGGGACTGTAGTCTCTGCTGAAGATGAGCAGAAGCTAGATGACCATCTATTGAAGATGCTATTCTCAGGCATGCTGGCTGAGGAATTCTGGGAGTTGAAATGCACAAGTCATAAAAGGGCCAAGTTTGAAGACCCCTCCTATTGTGGATTCCTGCCCTGGCTGGGGGCTTGGGACAGGCGGTCTCTACGATCTTTCCAGCTACAACATTGGATGAGTCAAGTGGGGATGGGAGGAACTGAACGCCTCAATAATTCTCAATCTTGGCAACTTTTAAGATGTGTGGACTTCAACTCCCAGAATTCCCCAGCCAATATGCTTACGTCCGTACTGCTTAAAGTTGCCAAGGTTGAGAAACACAGCACTAGACATTAAAGCAGTGGTTCTCAACCTTTTTCATGCTGCGACCCCAACCGGCCGTAAGTCGAGGACTAAACCGGTCGTAAGTCGAGGACTAAACCGGTCGTAAGTCGAGGACTACCCAACCGGTCGTAAGTCGAGGACTTTCCCTGCCCGGGAGTGCCACGCATGCGTGGTTCCGCCCCCTGCGCCGGCCGAGGCGTAGCTGGCAAGTGGCAGAGACGGAGCAGGCCGACCACCAGCTGACCCAGCCCAAGGGAGGTAAGGCACCCACCGGAAAAGGGGGAAAAAATGGCGGACAAAAAAAATGGCGGACAAAAAAAATGGTGGACAGCCTTGCTTGGCGACCCCCATGAAATGGTCGATCGACCCCAAATGGGGTCCCGACCCACAGGTTGAGAACCACTGCATTAAAGAGATCCCCCAATCAGTGAGTTTTACTTCTGAATGACAAGGGTTCAGCTGATGTGACATCCCACACACAGTATGTGGGAGTAAACCCATTGAACTCCCTAGGATTTACACATGAATAAACAAGACAATTTGCATCGTGATCCCAGCAACCTCTTCCAGCAATTGGTTTAAATTTTGCAGCCACAGCGTGTCCACTGCGCAATGCGCAGCCCGTGAGAATCAATGCTGTGATTCTTTTATTTGCGTCTAAAGGGGCCACCAGACTTTCAGTTGTTTTTCTGCACCTTCTCGAGTCCTCCAGTCGTCGTTGCATCGATAAAACCATTATAAAGTCTGACTTTATAGCACTTCACCTGGGTATCCTATGCAGAGACTCTATTAAGTCACAGGTGCGGAAATTACCTTGAAAAACCTCCGTGCAAAAAAACCAAACAAAAAAAAACCCCGACCGCTGACACCTTCACAGGGGCCCTTGAAGTAAATTTTCCGCAGAAAAGAACAGCAAACTAAACACTGGAAAAGCCAGAAACGGATACCCCGGAGAGTAAGAGTGAGCCCGCCCACCTACTGCTGGGTGGATTACTCCGGCCCAACCGTGCATGCCCTCTCCCCACCCCACCCCGCCGCGCAAGATTTGCTCCGAGGAAGTTGAAAGCCTCGAAGCTTTCCCTTTCAAGCCACCCCACCCCCCCCCGCCGCTTTTTGCGCCGGGAGATGCTTTTCAAAATGGAAATGCAGTTTGCAAACAACCAACAAACAGCTGGAAATGCCCTCGTCGCTGTTTTGAGAGAGGGTGCGTTCCGATGAGGGGGGGGGCGTGAAAGGCGCGGGGGTGGGTTGGAAAGAGAGCAATGAAGCGCGAGGCGTAAGGAGCCGGACGCCCTTTGCCTTTAACGGGCGGGGGTCCAAAGCGTTGCGCTCTCCGGCTCCGGCGGCGTAACAATGTGCCCACGTGACTGCCATGAAAGTCTTCCGAACAGGCAGGCGCGGAGGGAGGGGAGTAACTTCCAAAGGCGCTTGGAGGCGCCTCGAGTCAATCGCACGCCGGACCGGAGCCGGAGCCGGAGCGCGGGATGTGAAGCGAAACCGATCCGGTGGGGTCTCCTCAACAGCTCAAACCAAGCGGGGGGGGGGGCTTCGTTTCTCTCTTTTGCAACGCTCCTCGCGCCGAGGGAGACCCCCCACCCCTCCCAATCCCACCGACTCCTTCATGCTCTCTCGGCTTCGCCCCCTCCCCAGCCTTGGGTGACTCCCCCCCCCCCCAGCCTCCTCTTTCCTTCGGGCGCAGAAGCTCCTCCGATCGCCGAGGCGACGCTGCGCTCCAACATGCCCGAACAGCTCAGCGTCTCGGAGTTCGTGGCCGTCACTTCGGAGGACCTCAGCTCGCCGCTGGTCTCCGGCTTCGCCACCAAGATGCAGAAGTGCCGGGGCGCGGTGGGGGCGCTGGAAGAGGTGAGTGGGGCGGGGGGCGGGGGGGGTGGGAGATGCGAGAAGGGGAGGCTGCTCGCTCCCAGAAAGGAGCCCCCGGGCAAGGCAGGGGAGAAAGTTCACTTTCTCTTGTTCGCCAAAACTTTCCTTTTGCGCTGGGAAGGAGACGCGGTGCTCTGCTGGCTGGGCGCACCTGACCCGCTGCGGTGTTTATTCCCCAGCCAGCCTGTTTACCCGGAAGGAAGCCACCTTCCCTTTGTTCGGTGGGGCAGGTATTTGCAGGTGAGCAGCTCTGCGGCCGCCTTGCCTTAACTCAACGCCTTAGCGCTCTGCCACTTAACTAGAATTTTTTTTTTTTTTAAAGTCTGCTGGGGGAAGAGACGATCACCCGCCTTCTCGAACCAAAGATGATCTAGCCACAATTTAGCCTAGCGGGTTGGCTGACCCCCATCCATCCCGTTTAGCTGGTTTATGTCTGGTTCAGTGCAGTCGTGCAAACCCGGAACATTGGCTTAATTCCAGAAACCCGGATAACTTCACCGTGGGGCAGCTTTCTCTAGGGAGGAAGGAGCCCGACCAAGTTAAAGAGGAGTGAAGTTCTTAACTAGCAATGTTCTGTGGCCTATAATTTTTTTTAGCTCCCTTAAACCTCCCCCCCCCATCCCCAACCTTTTAATGTCTTTCATCCCAAGTCCAGCTGTAAGGGAAGAGTTTCAGACCTGGAAGTCAGAAATCCTGCTTTGCACGTGGTGCAGAGCCCACACAACACCTGTCCAGTTGGCAAGGCATCACAGTTGTGTTAACGGAGGTTGGGCTTCCCTTTCCGAGGACAAACAATTGAGAAGATGACGCTGAAATGTAGGGGAGAAGGCTCTACACTAGGGGTGGCCAACCTTGGCAACTTTAAGGCTTGTGGCCTTCAACTCCCAGAATTCCCCATGCTGGCTGGGAAATTCTGGGAGTTGAAGTCCATCAGTTGCCAAGGTTGGACAACCCTGCTCTATGTACTTTTTTTTAATCTATGAAGCATATTAGAGCAATTTTTCTTCCTCTAATATCTTCTAAGCCAGGGGTCTTCAAACTTAGCAACTTTAAGATTTGTGGACTTCAACTCCCAGAATTCCTCAGCCAACCTATGAAAGGTGTGCATGCAATTCATCTGTCTTGCAGGATTTACACCTCATGCTGCATAGTGATATAGTTTGTTTTGCTGTTGTAGACCAGGCCATGGGCTTATTAAAAATGGGTTTGTAGCCTGTTGGGGCTTATTCAGCTACCTGTAGTTAAATCCTTATTTCAGGTAAGGTGATAATCTAGTCACAAATTCTTTAAATTAGGGTAGTGTGTTGTCATAGAACTTAACTTTTCCCAATTCTGTTATCCCAGTGCATTGCTCCTCTGTGAAAGTGAAGTAAGTCTGGGGTGGGGGTGGGGGTGGGGTACTGAGTGCAAAAAACCCCAAATGGAGAGATGCTTGAGACATGCTTAGCACTGTGTCATCCACTGCATTTGTTTTGTTTGTATCTTGTCTTGATTGTTTTTACAAATAACTCAAGGTGGCAAACATATCCAACACACCTTCTTCCTCCTATTTTTCTCACAACAACAGCCCTGTGAGGTGGGTTGGGCTGAGAGAGAATGACTGACCCAGCTGGTTTTCATGGCTAAGGTGGGACTTGAATACAGAGAGCCTCCTGCCTTCTAGCCTGGTACCTTAACCACAAGACCAAATGTGCTCTCATTTTTGGTCCTAAGAATCCAGGTGCATCTGCATTATATTTTCCTCTGACTTTTCCGGAATTGGTCAAGGCTACATGGTTCTCTCCTGCATCAAATCTACTGCAGGCAACACCAGCGTGGCATTTGCTGTTCCTGGTTATGATTCTTTTTCTGCCCCCACTTGTCTCTGTTCCCAATTCCCTGAGGTCATCTGAACTCACTCCAAGGTAAAAGGTGGTAGGCTTAATTGATTTTATGTAGATACCATCGGGTGATGATGGAATTGGGGACAAAGTACTTTTGTAACTCACCTTATTAAATTTATTAAATTTGTTTGCTGCCCATCTCGCCACAAGGCGATTCTTAAGCTTAAGGCAGTTTCACTAATGGTTTGGAGGTGAGAAAAGGGCTACATCCCAGGGACAAGGGAGAAAGTAAGGCTTGCCAGGGCTTAATTATGTGATAGGTGCAAGAGGTGGTGTCATAATCTGCCAGATTCCAATGAATCAAATTTGACTCCTGGTAGCAGCATGGAGGAGAGATCAATTGCCAGTTGAGATTTCCAGTTGCAACTTGTATTTTGCTAAAGGCAGTCCTGTAATTTATTTGATCCAGTCTGTTCTCCTTATCTCTCATCTTTCCCTTATTTGATTTCCATCAAGTTAGCAAACGGTACGTTTTTGTTTGTCTGCCTAGCACATAACAGCATTGACGAGGCTTATTAGACTCAGTGGAGGAATGGAAGAGACGGTTTTCCCCTTTTCTCGCTACGAAGTTCATATTATTCCTTCCTTCAATTCTCTTGCAGCTTACAGAATGCTGAAATAAGAATTCCCATTTCTTGGACATTTTTCCCTCTGCAAAAGAAGCTTCTCTTTGTCTACCAGTTTCTCGGGCTGGTTGAGAATTTCTATCACATTCCTTTTGTTGGTGTTTTTGAGTTTAGTAGGTGGTTGGAGCGGTTAGGGTGATGGTATTGTACAGGTGGTCCTCGACTTACAATCACAATGGAGCTCAAAATTTTGGTTGCTAAGTGAGACATTTGTTAAGTGAGTTTTGCCCCATTTTGTGATCTTTCTTGCCACAGTTGTTAAGTGAATCGCTGCAGTTGTTAAGTTAGTAACACGGTTGTTAAGCGGATCTGGCTTCCCCATTGACTTTGCTTGTCAGGAGGTGGCGAAAGGGGATCACCTGACACCAGGACACTGCAACTGTCATAAATATGGGCCAGTTGCCAAGCATCTGAATTTTGATCACATGACCCTGGGGATGCTGCAATGGTCATGTGAAAAATGGTGATAAGTCACTTTTTTCAGTGCCATTGTAAACTGAACGGTTACTAAATGAACTGTTGTAAGTCAAGGACTACTAGAGGAGAAAAACTTCAGGGCATTTCTGCTCTGTAACCTTGGCTGTTTATCTATCATGCATAAATTAGGTGGAAATGAAGTTGCCTTAATAAATCAGTTTCTAGATTTCAACCTTTTCTTTGCTTTCACCATACCGATGGCTTGATGTTCTGTATGGACTAGATTTACCATAGTCTTTGGTGGATGGAGTTGTCTGTCCCCCCCCCCCCCCCCGTGGACTGGATGGAAGGATGGATGGTTGAGGGGGAAGAGAGAAAGAGGGAACGAAAGAGGAGAGAGAAAAAGAAGAGAAAGAAGGACACTCCAGTTTTACATTTTTCTCTTTTTATAGGCTAGAAAGGAAAGTGGCAAAATTCTTTTAGCTCTCCTTTGGTTAAAACAAACCAAAAAATCTCCATGTTGCATTGTCCCATCAGTGACCCTGAGAAGGAGGAGGGGAGACGTTCCCATCAGAGGCACACTTGCTGATTGGAATGGAAAGCTTTGCTTACAAAGGATTGAATTGCAGCAGGCAAACCAAATGCCACAGAAGTTTATTTAATAATAGAAGTTTATTTATATTCCACCTTTATTATTTTCATAAATCAAGCTGGGGAACGTATCTAATATGCCTTCCTCTCTCACTTTTCCCACAATAACAAACCTGTCAAGTGGGTTGGGCTGAGGGAGAGTGACGGGCCCAAAGCTGAAGGCGGATGGAGGGTAACTTCATACATATTTGCCTTCCAAGAATGCTGAGTGTGGGTGCTGCCTTTGGGATGAATTGGAAATGTGGGTCTGCCCTAGGATGCGTCTGCCACTTTACAGCCTCCCTGGCTGCTTCTACTTCCCAGTCTGAAAAGGCCTTGTGGGTGGAATTCCCTTGGCATGTCCTGCTCTGGAATGTAATGCAAATAGAGAAGGCAGGGAGGTTGCAGACAGATTGAGAAAGGGCTGTGTAATGGAAGGCAAGGCATTTATCCACACCTGGAGGCTAAAACATATGGAGAACAGTTGCAGGAATTGGGTGAAAAGAAGGACTAGGGGTGACATGATAGCAGTGTGCTAATATTTGAAGGGCTGCCACAAAGAAGAGAGTGGATCAACCCATTCTTTTCCAAAGCACCTGAAGGCAGGACAAGAAACAGTGGATGAAAACTAATCAAGAAGAGAAGCAACCTAGAACTAAGGAGACATTTCCTGACAGTTAAGACAATTAATCAGTGGAACGACTTTCCTCCAGAAGTTGTGGGTGTTCCAACACTGGAAGTTTTTAAGAAGAGATTGGACAGCCACTTGTCTGGAATGGTATAGGTTTCCTGCTTGAGCAGGGGGTTGGACTAGAAGACCTCCAAGGTCCCTTCCAACTCTGTTTATTGTTCTGTTACCTCTTGGCCACTTAATAAATGCAAAACTGTTGTATTGCATCAAAATTCATCTTCGGCTTTGAACAAAATTTCATTGATAAACTCACTTTCCTTGGCCCAGCTGACTGTTGCTTGGGCGAAAAATATATGAGAATTGAATCTAAGTTTCTTTTATCCAAATGCTAGTGAGATTAGCATTCAGCCATTGCTATTTTTCATTTTAGCCCACTTTAAAGTTTGTGTGAAGAGAAAAAAAAATAGGGAAATGGCAGCACTTGGAAGAAAAAGTAGAATATGAATGTAATCAATAAATGTGCTCAAACATTTAATCTTGAATTTAATTTGAAACATCTGTTTTGGCATCTTCAGTAAACGGTCTCCATGGCATTTCCCCTTCTCATTTTTCATTCTAGCAATAACTGAGTGTAAAACATCCGGTCTGTTTGAAATTGTGGCAGTATCTCGACTTGGGCTTGCAGCTTTCTTGCTGCAAATGTTTACTTTAAATTATGTGCATTAAGTTTATGCAAGAGCTGGAATAGGCCAGTGGAAGAACTGAATTGCCTTTTCCTTCTGGTGTTAGAAACAG